CCCACCCCCTCCTCCACCCACCCCCTGTTTGTTTTGCACTGCTGGAGGATGTGTTCCACAGTTTGGTCCTCTTCTCCACTCTGACATTTTAGTGATTATGCTAGTTTAAAAAATATTTTCATGTGTTGTCCAAGTCTTGTGTTGTGTTCTTAGTCTTAAGATATTCAGTGGGTGGTTGGCGGGTGCTCTGGTGTGGTTTGCTCCTTCTTCCCTATCAATAGCTATGGTCCTTCTCTCTCCTCCTCCTTTTTTGTGTTTGTTACTCTCTTGTAACACCTTCAATCTTCGGCACTTATATATGAATGACCTTATTGTGGTGCAAGTGCCGTAAAACTCTTACTAAAGCTAACAGAAGATAATCACTTGATGTTAATTATGTGTTTGTCTGTATGTCCTCAGGGACTGTTTGACTGGTGCAGTCCAACACAGTGATGAGGCGGAGCTGCGGTGTCCCTTTCAGGATGATCAATACTCTTGCCAGGCCCTTCTGCAGGAGAGAGAAATCAGGGCAGTAAGTGTGCATATGTGTGCGAGGACCTCTTGCAAGAAAGAGTTGTTTTTTTTTAATCAGTGCCCTTAGACCTAGTATTTATGTTTGTGTGCTTGTGTCTCTCTCTTTCTCGGTCTCCCTCTGTCTCCCTCTGTCTGTCTGTCTGTCTGTCTGTCTGTCTGTCTCTCTCTCTCTCTCTCTCTCTCTCTCTCTCTCTCTCTCTCTCTCTCCATAATTAGACCCCTTCCAACATTTTGTATGTTTGGGGGGGGGGGGAGATGTGAGCATGTGTGCACAAAAATTTAATATAACGCCCAAGGTTTTTATTGGAAACTTCTTTAAGTACCAATCAGTCCATGGATGTAGAGGCAACAAAGTTGGGAATCTTGTCATTCTAGTTCCATCTCATCTTTGTTTAATCAGTGAGAACAGCAGCAATCTACCTAGTAGTCCCCGCGGTTTTATGCACCCCGCATAATTTAACAAAATTGGTTCATTTTTTGCATTATTTCTGATTATTTTCCTTTATCATTCTTTGTTAAAATTAACAGAATCGCTTAATTTTACATTTTTGGGCTCAGTTTGCATAATTTCAGAATTTTTTTTCATAAAACTGCAAGGACAGACCTAGTACAATGAGCCACTTCTCAACCATGGTTTTTCCCCAACCCATTCTCCAGTTGGTCCCCCCTGAAGTGTACATGAAGTTTCTCCAGCGAGGCCTCAACCTAGCAGAGACGGCAGCCAAAGACTCCTACCATTGCAAGACCTCCGACTGCATCGGCTGGTGCATCTACGAGGACCTCGTGAACTTTTTCAAGTGTCCTGTCTGTCAGAAAGAGAATTGCCTCACCTGTAAGGTCAGTACCAGACTCATGTCTCACTATCCTGTTGTCCCACTGTACTGTCCCTGTGGTTTTATGCACCCCGCATAATTTAGCAAAATTTGATCATTTTTCGCATAATTTCTGATTATTTTCCTTTATCATTCTTTGTTATAATTAACAGCATCGCATAATTTCACATTTTTGGGCTCAGTTGGCATAATTTCAAAATTTTTCTTGCATAAAGCGACAGGGGCAGACTATATTACTGTCTCTCTGCCCCATTTTGTCACCGTTTCACTGGCCCACTGTATCTCTGCACCAGTGTCTCACAGTCCCATGAGTCCCATTGTCGCACTGTTCCTTTGTGAATGACTGTTCCTCTGACTATCTCTTTTACTTTCACGTTTTTACTGTTCCTCCGTCCCGTCTCAGTGGGTGGTTAGCTGGTGCTCTGGTGTGGTTTGCTCCTTCTTTCCTTTCAAACATCTATCATCCTTTTTTTTGTGTTTGTTACTCCCTTGTAACACCTCTTATCTTCAACATTTATATGACCTTATTGTGTTGCAAGTGCCGTAAAACTTACGAAAAAATAAAGAACAAAAAAGTCCCATCTCACTATCCTTTGGAGGACGTCGCTGGTAAGTCTTACTTCTTTTCTTTTCCTCCTTTGTTTTTGTCTATGGGTCTTACTTCTTACCTGCACTATGACCATTAATGTGTCCATGTGCTTCTTTTTACTCAAACTCTCACTGTCCCACTATCTCTCCACAGCCCCATTGTGTTATTGTCCCACTGTCTCACAATCTCATTGTCCCATTGTCTAACTTTACTCAAACTCAAACTAAAACTAAACTTAACTGACACTGGTGTCCATTTGAGGCTGTTCAAGGCTTATCTGTCTATTTTATCTAAATCTCACCTGATTGTTCAACCTTGCTGCCAACTAAAACCCTCTGTTTTCTCCTCTCTGTTGTTTCCTACTTTTTCTCTAATCCCATCCCCCTCTGTCATTCATCACCTCCAACCCCTCCCTCTTCCTTTCCTCTACCTCTTCCTCCTGTCTACACCCCGTCCGCTCCCATCTACTTTCCCCCTTACCTTTCATCACCCTTTCACCTCCTTCCTCTTGTCCTCTTTCTTCCCACCCTGCCTCTACCCTTATCCTTCACCCTCTCTCTCTCTCTCTTTGCCTTCCCAATTCCTCTTCCTCCTTCTCCCTCTCCTGTAATTGTAATCTCGCAACTTTGTCCCCATTTCCTGCATTAACCCACTGTCCACCGCCCGGGGCGGTGCCACTGACTGAAGTGTCTTTAGGCCATTCCCAAATGGGGGACATTTCTTGTTCTTATGCACAGTAGAATTGTAAATGGGCTGATTCAACAATGTCATGCTCATAACTGTGCCTGAACTGCTGCTTTTTTTTCCTAATACTTTCTATCGTCATTTACCTCTACTTCTTTCGTATGTTTGTGATACTCTTGTGACCCACTATTTCCGGGGTGCCTTGAGAGTCGAAACAGACTCTGTGCTGTTGACGCTGGAGAGGTGGTCAAAGTAAGCTCGATTCCCTGTAAAGACTTCTCTATTGACATCCGCCCCTTGGCGCTCATATGACCTTATGCAGTTGCGAGTGCCGTAAAACCTCTACTAAATAATAATACACCACTTCCTCCCCTTCCCCCTCTCTTACTGTGGCAGGCCATTCACGAAGGTTTGAACTGCAAGCAGTACCAGGATGACATTCGAATTCGGGCCAACAATGACATGGCTGCTCGACAGACCAAGGAAATGTTGGAGGTAGGATGGAGTGAGAGGAAGAGTGTGACAAGAGAGGAAAGAGCAAGAGAGGAGGAAAAAAAGGGAGGGTGGGAGGGAGAGATGTTATATATTAAAAATGTATAATGTTCTGTCTTGCATGTCGTATTTTGTCATCACTGTCTATTGCAAAGTCCACATGTGGTAGGAGGATGCTTGTTCACTTACATTTGTTCACATTTTTAAAATTTATCTTACTCCTCAGGGACCAAACAAAAAAAATTTTTCTAAAAAATCTTGATGAAGAATTAAAAAGTTTCTGTATAATTTGGACCCCTATATTATACTACCCTTCAGATGCATACGCAGAATCACAGCAATAAATGGCCCACCTAGCTTACAAATTGCTCATTTTGAGACAGTGACACCACCATGCCCCTACGTTTCAGTGTAAGCTTAAGATAAATTTTCCTCCCAAGACTGTATTGACATCTCCAGAGGAGTCTCGAAGAGTAGGCCTACTCACCTGTGGTTCTTTTTTACCATGTTTCATAGACGTGCAATAATGTGTAGTGTTAATGAGAACTTTTTATTTAATATGTTAGGTGTATGCTGTAAAAATCCCCTATTATTTTTTTTACCCCCTTTAGGCTGACATCAAAGAAAATATGTCAGAACCTTAGTTTCAGTGACCTTCATTTATTATTATTAGCCAGTAGATTTTGCTGGTCATCCAACTTTTAAACAAACATGCAAAATTATGGGAAGATTAAATAGAGCAATTTGTCTTTATTTTGTTTGAACTATGGACAGACAAAAGTAAACAAGCTATAGCTTAGAGGTCTTGCCTCTTCCAACATATTCTATGTTTGATAGGTCTTGCCTCTTCCAACATATTCTATGTTTGATAGGTCTTGCCTCTTCCAACATATTCTATGTTTGATAGGTCTTGCTCTTTCCTTATACTTTATGACTGTTTCTGCATTCGTGGTTTTTTTTCTGAAACGAAGCAACATAATTTCAAGGTCATGTTATGCTTATGCTGTCTAGTGAGCCTTTTTCAATATCAGCACTGTTTAATGTATTGCACTCCATATCTTGCGGGTGGTTGAAGGGTGCCACTAGTGTGTCCAGCTTCTTTTCTTTCTCTCTGTTGTTTCTGTCTGTCTGTCTTGCTTTATCAATGCACCAAATGACCATTATTGAATTTATTTTAATGATGTGCTTCTCTTTACAACAAACAATTGAACTGAATGACTGTTATCATGCTGATAGCCTCTCTTTTTTCAAACTCAGTAAAAATGTTTACATCATTACTTTCAAAACACTGGCGTCCTTTGTGTAGCAGTAAGCCACTTTGCTGTGGTACGCCGGAGATCCAAGTTCGATTCCACAATGGAGATAAATTCTTATCGAATATAATATCTCAGTCTTTTTGCTGGGATTTGGCATCCCTCTCTGCCCAGATTGGCCCAGATAGCTAACACTACACGTTCATGCACACCTGTCATGCCAGCATTGTCTTTTCCCCGCGATTTTATGCACCCTGCATAATTTAGCAAAATTTGATCATTTTTTGCATAATTTCTGATTATTTTCCTTTATCAATCTTTGTTAAAATTAACAGAATTGCATAATTTCACATTTTTTGGGCTCAGTTTGCATAATTTCAGAATTTGTCATGCATAAAACGACGGGGACAGATTGTCTACTAATGTGACTCTATGTCATGTTATGGCAACACTGTCTAATCTCAATGTCTCATGTGACTAGGGTTTGGTAGAGCGAGGCGAGGCCATGCACTGCCCCCAGTGCGGTGTGGTTGTGCAGAAGAAAGATGGCTGTGACTGGATCAAGTGCTCCATCTGCAAAACAGAGCTATGCTGGGTCACCAAGATGGCACGATGGGGCCCAAAAGTAAGTTCATCAGTTGACCGTAGTAGATTTGTTTGTTGTTTTGTTTGTCGAAGATAAGCTTGTCAGATGTCAATTGTTATTTATAAACATGTCAAATTTCAATGATAGTAGATAAACTTGCTGATTGTCAGTCATAGATGAAGTTGTCAATGGTCGTTTGTAGATGAACTAGTCATTTGTCAGTCATTGATGTATGGTTTTGACATAGGGTGGATGCTGTCTCAATAAGTCACGATCGGCATGTTTCATCTCATCGTGCACTGGTTATTTAGCATCTGCCTAACTGCCCACATGGATTATTCAGGTCGGATCTCTCTCTCTCTCTCTCTCTCTCTCTCTCTCTCTGTCGTCTCTCCCTCTCTCTCTCTCTGTTTTCTCTCCCTTCTTTCCCTCCCTTCCTCCCTCTCGTTCTCCGGTTCTCTCTCTCTCTCTCTCTCTCTCTCTCTGTCTCTCTCTCTCTCTCTCTCTCTCTCTCTCTCTCTCTCTCTCTCCCTCCCTTACTCCTTCCTTCCCTCCCTCCCCCTCTCTCTCTCTCTCTCCCTCTCCCTCTCTCTCTCTCTCTCTCTCTCTCTCTCTCTCTCTCTCTCTCTCTCTCTCTCTCTCTCTCTCTCTCTTCAGATTTTACTTTTATCAAAACCTCAGATCCAGAGAAAACGAATGTTGGACCCAGCAGATTTGTTGGAAGCAAGATTTATATCCAGTCCCTGTTCTGACAGTTTTACCAAAGAGCGCATATTTCTTTTTTGTCGCAGGGCAATGGGGACATCACTGGAGGCTGCCGCTGTCGTGTCAACAACACAAAATGTCACCCGAACTGTATCAACTGTCACTGACATAAGCATCAGCTGTCACCAGTACCAGCGTCTGCTGTCAGTGATGTCAATATCTACAATATTGTGACAGCCTATGGTTGGAATCAACCAGTCCGGAAAATTTGTCTCTAAGGTCAACATGATTGTCAACTGTGTCAATATATACTATTGTATATATAATGTATTGTTTACATCGACATCAAGGGTTTAGGATGTCAACGCCTTCTGTCAGTAGTGAACGTCATTATTAACTATTTACTGACAAACAAGATTTCTGTAATTCGTCATGTCCATAAAAATACAATGAGATAGAGAAAATCAAGGGAGGTAAAAAAGAACATTAAAACAATTTACGTGGTTGGCTCCGTTGATGATTGTGTTGACTGTGTGAAAACAAGAAGATGAGTGAAAGTAGGTACCAGAAACTAAATTTTCAGAGTAACTGTATGCCAAATGTATCTGTTCCATTTGAAAGACCTATATCTGCTGAGCATTTTGGTACCATTCTTTAACCTCTCAGTCATTTTTTAAGAAAATGGTAGTTGTTTAAAATTTGATCAAATTTGTTAAAGTCAGTCACTGGCTGCAACCCCATGTTTGACAGATAATAAAAGAGTACCAAATACACTAATCATCTTCACATTAACAGAGTACAATCACTATAACAAATATATGGAGCCTAATTTTTTTCAAGACTGTGAGACCATTACAAATCAGTATTTTATCGCCCCAAACAAGATGATCTGTCGTTATTTCGACAAAAACATGAAGCGTTGAACCGGCCGGCGCCGCATCGGCCCCCACGGCGAGCGAATTGGCGTACTGTAGTGTACCCCACGTGCGAGGTCTCATGCTTTCCAAGTCTCGCGGAAGGGTTAATGCAAAATAATTTCACACTAATTACTTTATTCCAAAAGGAAATGAACTAATCTTTTAATTGATATCTGTTTTGAGCCGGTACTTTACATATTTCGAGTAAAAAATTATCTTTTAAAATTTTGACGGTATTTTTAAAGGCTTTCTATTTAAACGCCAAAGGCCAAATATTTACAGCGGGAAAGCCCGTTTAAAGCTCTACATTTCTCCACCAATGAAAAGACGGTATTTAATCATCCCTTGTTACGCGAAGCATTTGAATGCATGCATGTCAATTTTTTAACCGGCCAACCATGCATTCCGACCACAAGGGGCTTCGCTTTCCTCGGCGATTCTCCAGCTCCTAATAATCGGACATATAAACAACTTACAAGTTACACCATTGTAACGAGGAAAAGCTGAACTTTTACATGGTATACGGCATTTGGAGTTTTATAGCGAAAGAGCAAAGAAACAGCGATCGGAATTACCCCGACTTCACCGATACCACGCGGTCGGAAGGCCATGAGTGCCCACGAGGCCGTGTTTACGCTACCTAGTGAAAGTGGAAAGCAGAAAATCTCACTTATGCGCAGCCAACTTCCAAGTCATTCCTTTCCTCCCATTTCATTGGCTTACAAAAAGTTACACCTCTTGCCATCCGCACCGCTCGCGTCCCACAGCATGATTGCACACGTGTTGAGCCAGTCATGCGGTGCAGTCAACATCATTCCCCTTCCCCCTTCCTCCAGCCTCCCGTGGTGAGACAAGGGCCACGTTTTGGCTCTCACAATAACAAAGTAACACCTACCCACAGCCGGAAAGGCTGTAAAACCAGGTCTTTAGTTGAGAATGCGAAGTGGATTTGTTTGAGATTCGATTGTTGCGTGTTCCGAGTGTTCAGAAACCCTGTGAAGTCTATACAAAGAAAACATAGGGACTGAAATGGGACCGAGCTTTAAGTTCGAGATACCCGAGAATTCGTGATTTTCGTGTTTGAGATTCATGGACTGTACTGTAGCACCCAGAGCTACATTGCACTGAGTCCTCCTACTGAATCGCACCTAGAGCGGCATTGCGAAGCATTTCTTCAATTGGCGAATGCGCGACCTGCCGAGGTATGCAGTTCTGTGAGGTCTAGGAATAATTCCCGATTAGATTTGACTGAAAATGAGGCTATATAGCAAAAGTAGAATTGTTCTTCTTTCTTCGAGATTTTGAATGGTCAAATTTGAATCAGAATTAGTGAGTGTGTGAATTTTTAAAGTAGCCTAATTATAACAAAATGAAGGGTGTTATGGCGTTGAAACTTGGAAAGTTTGAAATTACATTAAAATTCAACCAATGGAGCAATCTCGACAAAACAAAGACACATTGAAATTCTACTGTAATATAATATGGTATTTTTAAGTCACTAGAGTAGTTTGTTATTTTTAAATTGGACGAAATAGATGGGTAACGAATGAAACCTGATAGCCACAACTATAAAGAGAAAAATAAGTACCTTGCCTATACTGTACCCAACTGAAACTGACATGTTGGAAACGGTATTCTTTTCCTAATATTATAGTTGCGTTTTACCCCGATCGTTTTGTAAAGAAAAATATTTTTTATGAATGTTTTAAAAATATGATAATTTTAGACCATCTCCCTGTTCCAGGATTTCGGGGCATGCATCAGGACAAATCTCCAAGAGCTAAATGGTTAATAGTTGTCACTGACATGTATCATCTGCTGTATTATATTATGATGTGAAAATCAGTCGCTGATGCTAACGTCAAGTGCCAATATAATAGTCCCCAGAGTCAGTATCAACTGTTCCCAATGCCCGCGTCCACGAACATTTCCTTCTATCATCACTGACATCATTGTAAACCCACAATGACATCAACATCAGATGTCTCTGATTTCAAAATCAACTGTCCCTGATGGCTACATAATATGTCACTGATGCCAACATTGATTGTCACTGATATCAACTTACATTATCAGTTTCAAATGTTACCGACATCAACGCCAGTTGTGACTTAAGTCAATGGTAACTGTCATTGACCATTATTTCCTAATTACCTTCACTGATGGTATCATCAATTGCCATTGAGATTTATATATTACATGACTACTGTCGAAGTTTTGCGATTACTTGTCTTTTTTTTTTTTTCTCACACACCTTTTCCTCAGCGATATTAGCCATTTCCCAGGTCACTGGCCATTCTGTAGGTCACTACCCATGCTGTGGTCCACTCTCTGGCCAAGTTGTGGGTCTTTGGACGTGTATATTTGTGTGTGTGTGTGTGTGTATGTGTATGATATGTGTGCCTGTGTGAATGTTCTAGTGTCCTTCGATTTCTCATGCTGTATCAACCCATTTCTGTACACCAACTTCGCCAGTACAGACAAATCTGTATACATACACAAATAGTCCACTCGAGTCTATAGACATAAACTGACCTGCTGTACATGTACTTGTATGTAGACTCGCCTACCGTGGACACTTTTGTATGTGCATAGATCTGGCTTTCCATACATCATACTGTTTAAAAATAAGCAGTTCCGACACGAAATTCCTGTGAACATGAAAGGATTTCAAATCTCCAGATTTTTTCCCCTTCTTTATTCTATGCACCTGTAAATTCCCATTGTTACTCACAATCATAAATTCCAACAGATTTGATTAACATGAAGCAACTTTGGGTTGTTTTACTTTTACCCCTTTTACTGACTGAGTGTCCCCCTTTCCTTTTTTTTTCGCACACAGTATCCTTGTAATCTTCCTATTGTTGTCAATACATGTCACACAACATGTGTTCAATAGGCTGGGATCCCTCCCTCCCTTATGGAATGCCCTTTCCCACTTCATATATATATATATACATTTTATGCATAGCAGGTGATGAGAAGGTGGCTTTGATTTAACAGGACAAGGAGATGAGACACTGGGAAGCTGCCAACCATCCCTAATTTGTAGATGGAAACTTCCCCGATTATATTTATTATGTGCACTTATGATTTATGAATTCCATGTATTATTAACAAATTATCAATTTGTTTTTGTTCTTTTAAGCTGAGCAAGAAAAAATAGTGACATGGTATTGTTTACCGCCCCTATCAAGACTAGTAGGTTATGTGAGAGGCAATTACACTAAATAGTTGAATTGGAATGAAAAATCATCAAGTGAATAGCTACAACCTCTGATAAACCTCAGTCTCAGGTTGAAAATAAGGTTTCCTTTTTTAATAATTTCCAAAAGTTTGCAGCTCTGCATGTGTTATTAATGACTAAAAACAGATGACCATGTATGTTGACGCCATCCAAGAAACAGTAAGAAAGTGGTTCCTTCTCCTCTATTGTTTTTTTTTCTTTAGCTCTCTACTTAACTAGAAATCAGCTTGACAAGACGAAATTTTTGTCAGGCTTTTCTCAGCTGGTCCAGCAAAAGACACCGAAGGAACCGTCATAACTTTGACTTTAACAGAAAATCTTAAACACCTTTTTACTATTATTTATGTACAAGTCTATAAGATTAAAGTACATACAGATGCCGTAATCATCTGAAAGGAATATTGTGGCTTGATTGGTGTTGGTTTCTTCTCATGGTGAGGTGAGGATTTCATCCGTATTGTCACAGCACATGATGTGACTTGTGAGTGACATAAGTTTGTCCTATCCAGTTTCCCACGGTCATTGAGGTGTGTGACTGTCCATTTTTCTTTTCTAGTCTTCTCCCATCATTATGATGATGAGCTCTCAAGACTCAGCATGTGTTGATTTCAGATTCTTAATATTTATTTGTATTCTTTGATCTTTAATGGTGATATAAATAAAATTTTTCTACATCATTCTTTGTTCTCAGTTATTAAACTGATAAAGAGAGTAAGTTCTTTGCGAGTCACAAATTTAGACTTCGACGCCATTTTTTTCGTCAACTTGACATGTTGGGTCAACTTGACATATTCAGTATATATATTACATATAGTATAGTGATTCCATAGGATGCACTAAACACTAAATCATTAGATGAATGAACTGATCTTGTTGAATGTGCAAAGAACTGAAGAGGTAGACATCGTGATAGTACAGGGTATGCCAATTAAAAGGACCAGTAGTGATTCTATAGGATCATAAGAATGTAGTATGGTAAGCAAAGAACCAATTTCAGTTTGAGTTTGAGGAAAAAGTAGCACATCAAACACAATAACAGTCATTTAGTGCAGGAGAAAAGTAAGACAGAGAGAAACAACTGAGGAAAAGAAAAGAGGTAGGAATGAACCGATAGAATCCTTTCATGTACCGTAATAAACAACTGAGAAAAAGAAAAGAGGTAGGAATGAACCGATAGAATCCTTTCATGTACCGTAATAAACAACTGAGGAAAAGAAAAGAGGTAGGAAGGAACCTATAGAATCCTTTAATGTACCGTAATAAAGTTGCCCAATCACAGCTGTATATATGAAGACTACAAGGGGAAAGCGCCCTTTAAAGAAATTATAGCTGTAATTTTTTTTTATTCT